GGCTGAGGCAGGAGAATCGCTTGAACCCTGGAGGCGGAGGTTGCAGTGAGCCGAGATTGCGCCACTGCACTCTAGCTTGGGCAACAGAGTGAGACTCCACCTGAAAAACAAACAAAAAACCAGTCAGGCACGGTGGCTCACACCTGTAATCCCAACACTTTGGGAGGCCGAGGCTGGCAGATCATGAGGTCAGGAGTTCAAGACCAGCCTGGACAACTTGATGAAGCCCCGTCTCTACTAAAAATACAAATATTAGCTGGGCATGGTGGCGGGTGCCTATAGTCCCAGCTACTTGGGAGGCTGAGGCAGGAGAATCGCTTGAACCCAGGAGACAGAGGTTGCAGTGAGCCGAGATTGCACCACTGCACTCCAGCGTAGGTGATGGACCAAGATTCCGTCTAAAAAAAAAGAAATGTTTTGAAACAGATAATAGACTTACATAAAGTGTTGCTGGGATATTGTGGGCTCTAAAGCTGTTGTTTGCAGCAGGCACCAGACTGGTGCATCTGGATGACTGCCTCCCCGCCGCGCCATAGTACCTGCAGCATTTGGGGGTGTTTGGGTGAAGGTAGATTGTTGACAGCATGTAACCAGCATTTAGATTTTAAGGCTCTCTCTTTAGATATGGGTTCATGGCAAAAAAAAAAAAAAAAAAAGATTTTAAGGTTTAGTAGTCTTATGGAGAATGCAACATAACCTTAGTCTTCAGTGCTTCACAGATGTAAATCTGAAGGACACCTAATAGTTTTATATATATATATAAAATAAATATAAAAATATATATATATAAAATATATATTTATATAAATATATATAAAAAACTATAGATGTATGTGTATATGTATAGTTTTTTTTTTTTTTTTTTGGGAGGGGGGACGGAGTCTCGCTCTGTCACCCAGACTGGAGTGCAGAGGCGCAATCTCGGCTCACTGCAAGCTCCACCTCCTGGGTTCACGCCATTCTCCTGCCACAGCCTCCTGAGTAGCTGGGACTACTGGCGCCCGCCAGCACACCCGGCTAATTTTTTGTATTTTTAGTAGAGACGGGGTTTCACCGTGTTAGCCAGGGTGGTCTCGATCTCCTGACCTCGTGATCCTCCCGCCTCAGCCTCCCAAAGTGCTGGGATTACAGGCGTGAGCCACTGCACCCGGCCTATATATAGTTTTATATATTCATATATTTATATATATTTAGAGACAGCAAGACTAAAAAACATAGAAGTTAATATAATGTGTAATATATAAATTACATTTTCATATATTATACAATTTATATCATATAACTTATGATATATAATATATAAAATGTGTGTGTAATATAGTATATAATTTATAATATATGTAATATAGTATAAAATTTATAATATATTATCATATATTAAAAATATAAATATATGGCTGGGTGTGGTGGCTCACGCCTGTAATCCCAGCACTTTGGGAGGCTGAGGTGGGCGAATTACCAGGTCAGGAGATCAAGACCATCCTAACATAGTGAAACCCTGTCTCTACTAAAAATAAAAAAATTAGCCGGGTGTGGTGGCGGGCACCTGTAGTCCCAGCTACTTGGGAGGCTGAGGCAGGAGAATGGCGTGAACCCGGGAGGCGGAGCTTGCAGTGAGCCGACACTGCACGCTAGCCTGGGCGACAGTCTCAAACAAACTATACACACACATATGTATATATGTGGAGGTTATAGGGAGCTGAAATCGTGCCACTGCACGCCAACCTGGGTAACAGAGTGAGACCCTGTCTCCAAAAACAAAACAAAAAAAAAGTGAGAGAAATTGAACAAGATATAGTTTGAGATTTGACCCCATAAAGTTGTCAACATTTGCCTAGTTGGAGTAAAATAGAATGCCATTTTGTACTCGTTGTGAACATGGTGCTTTTTTCTCCCTCCAAATCTTAGTGCATGATCCGTAAAGGTTATTGAATTGTTTTTCAACTTCTTAAAGGAGAAATTTCAGTTAAAATTTTAGGCACTTATTCTAAGTGAATTGAGTGTATATATTTGTCACTAGAAAATTACTATCTTTAGGCCGGGCATGGTGGCTCATGCCTGTAATCCCAGCGCTTTGGGAGGCCGAGGTGGGCAGATCACCTGAGGTTAGGAGATGGAAACCAGCCTGGCCAACATGGTAAAACCCGTCTCTACTGAAAATACAAAAATTAGCCAGGCATGGTGGCGCCTGTAATCCCAGCTACTCGGGAGGCTGAGGTACGAGAATTGCTTGAACCCGGGAAGCAGAGGTTGCAGTCAGCAGAGATGGTGCTCCAGCCTAGGCGACAGAGCAAGACCCTGTCTGAACAACAACAAAAATAGTTACTATTTTTAGTTCAATAGTAGCTTATAATTGTAGCTACAGTATTTGTAAGTTGCTGTGGCTTTGAATGTTGCTCTTAAGACTGTTGTTAGTTACCCACTAAGTTTTAATTGCAAGGAAATTTCAGAGAATGTGAAAAAGTTTTGGTTAAGGCTGGAAAATATCTATTCTTGCTTTCCTCAAAATTGGCTTCAGTGATTACTTAATGACAGCAGAATGCTTTGAAAATATGCTCTTTAAAGTCTAGCTATTATTAAAATGCCATAATAATTTATATGTAAGTGATAGTTGCTTTTTTGTTGTTGCTGTAACTGTGGTAAGAGGAAAGCATTATTAGCAAAATCCTTAAGAAAAATATAGTATAAAAAGCTGCTAAATAGATAATTTACAAAAATGGAATGTGACTGAGAACATGAGACACCTGTGTATAGGTTTGACATCTTTATATTCATTTGAATTCTTTGTTTCCTTGGACTTTGCAAGTAAGGTGGTTTTTTCTTTTTGACAAACCGTATAGTAATAATTATTATTATTATTTGAGATGGAGTCTCATTCTTTAGCCCAGGCTGGAGTACAGTGGCGTGATCTTGGCTCACTGCAACTTCTGCTGCCTGGGTTCAAGTGATTCTTCTGCCTCAGCCTCCTGAGTAGCTGGGATTACAGGCATGAGCCACCACGCCTGGCCCCTAATTATTGTTTGTAAATTAAACAAATTTTTTTGTAGAGGCCGTGTGCTGTGGCTCTTGCCTATAATTCCAGCACTTTGGGAGGCAGAGGTTAAGGGATTGCTTGAGACCAGGAGTTTGAGACCATTCTGGGCAACATAGTGAGACCCCATCTCTATAAAAAAATTAAAATAAAAATTAGCCGGGTGTGGTGGCACATTCCTGTAGTCCCAGCTACTCAGGAGGCTGAAGTGGGAGGATCGCTTGAGCCCAGGAGGTTGAGATTGCAGTGAATGGTGATTGTGCTGCTGCACTCCACTCTGAGTGAAAGAGCAAGACCCCATCTCAGTCAATCAATAAGTAATAAAATACAACAAAAAATAAAATTTTTTGTAGAGACGAGGTCTTGCTGTGTTGCCCAGGCTGGTCTTGAACTCCTGGCCTCAAGCAGTCCTTCTGCCTTGGCCTTCCAAAGCACTAGGATTATAGGCATGAGCCACCATGCCAGCTAAATTATTTTTTAAAAGATTATTTGTATATATCTACAATTTCCAACTAGTTTCTCATTTATTTATTTATTTTTTTGAGACACAGTCTCACTCTGTTGCCTGGGCTGGAGTGCAGTGGTATGATCACGGCTCACTGCAGCCTGAATCTCCCAGGCTCAGGCAATCCTCCTGCCTCAGCCTTCTGAGTAGCTGGAACCATAGGCATGCACTACCATGCCCAGCTAATTTTAAAAAAATTATTCATAGAGATGGAGTCTCCCTGTGTTGCCCAGGCCGGACTTGAACTCCTGGTCTCAAGCAATCCTCCTTCCTTTGCTTCACGTGATCCTCACTCCTTGGCCTCACCAGCTGTTGGGATTATAGGCGTGAGCCATCACCTAAAGTGATACCAGACCCAACACCCATTTTAATGCAATATAAAGCTTGCAAAATTGAACTCTCCCATGTCAGGAAGCAAACTGTGTTCTAATTTCTAAATTACTAACTGGGCTTCTAAATGTATCTGTTCATACAGTAGAGCATTACAGAGTGCTCTGTATATTGTTGGTGTTTCACTGAGTGTTTGCCATTGTTTAGTACTGTTTGTCTTTCCATTTATTCAATATTACCATATGCTATAATCACTAGACCAGAGTAGAGCATTCGGCAAGCAAAGAGTTCCAAGTAGGAGTCAAAATAAACTGGGAAATAAAATTGCCATAAAATTTTGTGGATAGTAGTTGAAAAATGCTTTTCAAAAAGGGTCTATAGTAAGTGGGAAGGTAGGTCACACCTCATTTTTTATAAAGTTCTTTCTGCACCCAACTCTCAGAAGTTTGTGTATACTCAGTGATTAAAGTAGGCATTTATAAATGGTGTGGGAATAATTTTAAATTGAGTTTAAGGAGTTAAACAGTTTTGTACTTATTTCTATTTTCTGTAAATGATGGGAGTTTTTTTAAAAAACCTTTAATAAAATACACTTTTGATCATTTCTTCTTCTGTTTTTTTTTTTTTTTTGAGACGGGGTCTTGCTCTGTCACCCAGGCTGGAGTGCAGTGGTGCGATCTCGGCTCACTGCAAGCTCCGCCTCCCAGATTCAAGCCATTCTTCTGCCTCAGCCTCCCGAGTAGCTGGGATTACAGGCACCCGCAACCACACTTGGCTAATTTTTTGTATTTTTAACAGAGACAGGGTTTCACCATGTTGTTCAGGCTGGTCTCGAACTCCTGACCTCATGATCCACCCACCTCGTCCTCCCAAAATGTTGGGATTACAGGCATGAGCCACTGTGCCCAGCCAGGATATATTTACATGAACATTATAGCTATGAAGAATAAAGATACCCATTAAGAAACTGGATTATGTGAAATATCTTAAATTTTTCTTTATTATTTAACATACAAGCAAAACTTATTTATTATAGAAAAATTAGAATATAGAAATTGATACAAAGGAAAAAAGTGTAATCCCACCACTGGGTTGAATGAATTCTGATATTTTTCTTATGTGTGCTTCTTCCAGAAATATGGCTACACACACCTTTCTGCAGGAGAGCTGCTTCGTGATGAAAGGAAGAACCCAGATTCACAGTATGGTGAACTTATTGAAAAGTACATTAAAGAAGGAAAGATTGTACCAGTTGAGATAACCATCAGTTTATTAAAGAGGGTAAGGGGTGTGAATGAATGCCAACCAGTTCAAACCAGCGAGGAAACAAGAAATTAAATTTACCTTTTGGCCAGGCAGTTGCTCATACTTGTAATCCCAGCACTTTGGGAAGCCAAGGCAAGAGGATCACTTGAGGCTGGGAATTCAAGACCAGCCTGGACAACCTAGTGAAACCCCATCTCTACAAAAAAATTTTTTTAAAAGCCAGGAATGGTGGCATATGCCTGTAGTCCCAGCTGCTTGTGAGACTGAGGCAGAAGGATTGCTTGACCCCAGAAGTTCAAGTCCAGCCTGGGAAACATAGTGAGACCTCCTCTCAAAAATAAATAAACAAACAACATTGATAATAAAAATAAATCCACCTTTCATGTGTGTAATGAAAAATATCAAAAGTTTTGTTTTGTTTTGAGACAGTGTCTTTGTCACCCAGGCTGGTGTGTAGTGTCCTGATCATAGCTCACTGCAGCCTCAACCCTCCAGGCTTAAGCCATCTTCCCACCTCAGCCACCTGAATAGCTGGGACTACAGGTACATGCCACCACACCCAACTAATTTTTTTCTATTTTTTGTGGAGACAGGGTCTCACTATGTTGCCTAGGCTAGGCTGGAACTCCTGGGCTCAAGTGATCCTCTCACCTCGGCCTCCCAAAGTGCTGGGATTACAGGAGAGAGCCACCACATGTGGCTCCGAGTATTGAATTTCTTGCTTGTGGAAGGTGGTTATGCTTGAGAATGGCAGAACTAGAAACTTTGCTTTCACCTGGGAAGAAATCGGACCGTGGCAAGGATTCTCTACTTTGATTTAGGATCACCTGTAGCTCAACTTAACATCCATTTATGTGCACTTGGTCCTTTCTTCCCAACATTCAGACAGTTACTCTCTTCCATTTCTGTTTCTTCTTTTATCCTCCCTCCCCTGCTCCCTTTTCTTTTTTGCTTTCTTTTATTCTTTTTTGTTTTGTTTTGTTTTGAGTTAGAGTCTCACTCTGTTGCCAGGCTGGAGTACAGTGGCGCAATCTTGGCTCACTGCAACCTTCGTCTCCCGGGTTCAGGAGATTCTCCTGTCTCAGCCTCCAGAGTAGCTGGGATTACAGGTGTGCACTACCACGCCCAGCTAATTTTTGTATTTTTAGTAGAGACGGGGTTTCACCATGTTGGCCAGGATGATCTCGATCTCTTGACCTGGTAATCTGCCCACCTCAGCCTCCCAAAGTGCTGGGATTACAGGCGTGAGCCACCGTGCCTGGCCCCTAAACCTCTTTCTTTCTTCTTTCTCGTGTTTTTGTTTTTTGTTTTTTGTATTTTGGAGATGGAGTTTCGCTCTGTCGCCCAGGCTGGAGTGCAGTGGCACCAACTCGAGTCACTGCAAGCTCCGTCTCCTGGGTTCACGCCATTCTCCTGCCTCAGCCTTCCGAGTAGCTGGGACTACAGGTGCCCACCAACATGCCTGGTGAATTTTTTTTTTTAATTTTTTAGTAGAGACGAGGTTTCACTGTGTTAGCCAGGATGGTCTCGCTCTCCTGACCTCATGATCCACCCTCCTCGGCCTCCCAAAGTGCTGGGATTACAGCGTGAGCCACAGCGCATGGCCCTTCCTCTTTTTTAACCCACGTCCTTCTCATCATTGATGTTCGCTCAGCCATGGTGTCTACTTTTCTGGTGCATCACCAGCTTCAATGTGAAATGCTAAGACTTAATAGCTTTCAAAACTAAAATATGTCACATCTGAGGCTTGGTGCAGTGGCTGATGCCTGTAATCCTAGCACTTTGGGAGGCCGAGGCAGGGGGATCACTTGAGGTCAGGAGTTCGAGACCAGTCTGGCCAACATGGTGAAACCCCGTCTCTACCAAAAAATATAAAAAATTAGCCAAGTGTGGTGGCATACACCTGTAATCCCAGTTACTCGGGGGGCTGAGGCAGAAGAATGGCGTGAACCTGGGAGGCAGAGGTTTTGGTGAGCTGAGATCATGCTACTGCACGCCAAGCTGGGTGACAGAGTGAAACTCCATCTCTTAAAAAAAAAAAAAAAAAGTCCGGGCATGGTGGCTCACACCTGTAATCCCAGCACTTTAGGAAGCCAAGGTGGGTGAATCACGAGGTCAGGAGTTCAAGACCAACCTGGCCAACATGGTGATACCCCATCTCTACTAAAAATACAAAAAAAAAAAAAAAAAAAAAAAATTTTAGCCAGGAGTGGTGGCAGGCATCTGTAATCCCAGCTACTCAGGAGGCTGAGGCAGGAGAATCACTTGAACCCAGGAGTGGAGGTTGCAGTGAGCCGGGATCAAGCCACTGTACTCCAGCCTGGGCAACAGGGCGAGATTCCGTCTCGAATGAATGAATGAATGAATGAATGAATGTATGTCACATCTGAAAAACAGACACCTTGTATTTACTAGGTAACTTTTCATTCTAGATTCCTAAAACTATAATCATTAACAGGTATTTTCACATATAAGAACAGTGAGGAAGAAAAAGAAGTGCAATATTGGGAACAACAAGAAATAGCTGAAGCCTGATGGAAAAGAGCTATATAAGCATCTGGTTGGAACTAAAGACATTGGGGATGAAAAGTGGCTCATAAACACTTTCTTACATCTTGTCTCAGAGGTTGAAGTAACCTGCTTCCGTTGCAAAATAAACAAATCCTCTCTCCCCATTCCCTCTCTCTAATGTCCTTTCTCTGCTCTATAAAGCAGAGAAAGCATTGTGAAAGAGCAGACTATATGGTTTTACTTTTTCACTCTACTTTTTAACCCTTTGCAGTCAGATTCTGTTTCCATCTCCATTGCAGCTGCTCTTGCGTGTTACCAATGATGATCTCTATCAAATAATACTTTTAGTCATTATTTTTCTTGTAGTATTTAACTCTGATCAGTCTGTTTGAAAATCATTCCTCTTTTGTTCTTTATGACAGCATCTCTTTTTCTTCTCCCTACTGAGTGACTGCTATTTCTCAATCCTCTTTAATAGTTATTCTTTTGCAAGTTTCCAAAACCATGATGCTTCTCAGGGTTTTATACTTGGTCTTCTTCGGCTCTCATTTTATGTGTTTCTTTCTGGATGGTTTTAGCCATACCCAAAGCTTTCACTATGCTAATGTTGCTAAAGTCTATAGCTCTAAAACAAAATGTTTGTTTTGAATTCTAGACATATATTTTTAATTACCTAACTACTAGGCCTCTATCTGAATGTCTCACAAGTGTCTCAAAATCAGCATGTCAGAGGCTGAGTGTATTGTCTAAAATGTGATCTTCCTTTGCTTCCTGTCTTGCTTAATGATTCTACCATCTGCCTAGCTATTCAAGGCAGAAATCTGGGAATCAATCTATATCTCCTGCCTTTTCCTTACTTTCCCAAATCCATTCAGTGAGCGTATCTTTCCAATTATCTTTCTTTTAATCCTCTTCTGTTAGTCTCTTCTCTATCGTTACTATCACCTTAGTTCACATCCTCTTTTTTTCTTTTGTTTTTTGTTTTTTGTTTTGTTTTGTTTTTTTGAGGCAGAGTCTCGCTCTGTCACCCAGGCTGGAGTGCAGTGGCACAATCTCGGCTCACTGCAACCTGCACCTTCTGGGTTCAAGTAATTCTCTGCCTCAGCCTTTTGAGTAGCTGGGATTACAGGTACCAGCCACCATGCCCAGCTAATTTTTGTATTTTTAGTAGAGATGGGGTTTCACCGTCTTGGCCAGGCTGGTCTTGGACTCCTGACCTCATGATCCACCCACCTTGGCCTCTCAAAGTACTGGGATTACAGGTGTGAGCCACTGCACCCGGCCACATCCTCTTTTTTTCTTACCTGGACTATCAGTAGAGACTCCTAGTTAGTCTTTTTGCTTTTAATCCATCTTTATACTGACTCCTAGTTAGTCTTTTTGCTTTTAATCCATCTTTGTCCCCTTCTGATTAATCCTCTTCAGTGCAGTCAAAGTGATTTTTTTTCTAAAAGGCAATATGAGCCTGTTATTTTACTGCCTAAAATTCTTAAATGTTCCTCTATTGCTTCCAGAATAACACTCAGACTCCTTGGTGTCCCATACAAAGTTCTTCATGAGTCTTACTCCTTGCTTACTTTCCAGTCATATCTCCCACCACTCTCCACACATATCCTAAGAGTCAGTTGTGCCGGCTAATAGATTCATTTAAGCGGTTTTGCTTTCTCATTTATATTTCCAGTTTCCACTATCTGGAGGACGCTGATCCCTATCTGCCTACACGTGCCATTTCATTATTCAGGATTCAGTTCCACTGCCACTTCTTTGGAAAAGCTTTCTTTGGCAGTTTCCTTGCAGTTTGTGCTGACTTCTTTGTTTTACTATAGCATCCTTTGCATACTTGATTATAGAACTTAGCACATGTGTGTATACATATTTGTCATGCACTCAACTGTGACTCCCCCCAGGGACAAGAGTCATGACCTTGCTCTTCATGTTCGCTGATGGTAGACCTCGAATGAGTGTATGCTGAATGAGTATGATATTGATGTGCGTTCTTCAGATATCTTCCACTACCATAGTTGTGGTAGAAAGGCTATAGCAGAGGCCCAAAAGCATTCTGCTGAAGTTTTGCAAATATCAAAGAAGCTAGATGATAGGTTAAAAGCAATTCTCAGATAAAGGGATCATGGGTCCTGACAGCCATTGTTCTTGAGGAACCAGAGAAGTTTGAACATGGAGAGTACTGAATGTCAGTTCGTTTTGGAATAGAGGCTCCTCTAAGGTTTATTACAGTCGTGTACTTGCGCTTATCCTGTGGTGATTGAAGTGGCAAGGATTTGGAGATTAGAGATTTCTGTCTCATATTTACATATTCCCACATTCTACCTAAATTCACGCTTTGGAAGAGGATGGTGAAATGGGTTGTTCTTGCTATCTTTCTGAATGTGTTCTTTTGTTCCCTTTGTTTTGGGGCAGCCAGTGACATTTGGGTTTAATTAGCTTCCATTAAAAAGTATTTTATCGTACATTAATAATTAATGCTAATAGTCTTTTATATTTGTCCAAAGCTTTGTGTTGTTGGACTTGAATTACATGAATAGCAGAGTTGAGCACCTGTAGAAGTAATATACTTTCCACTACAGCAAAACGACTTGGGAAGAGCAAAGGGAACACAAGACAGGGTCTCTAGTTGCTGAAGCAAAGATAATGGTTAATGGTTATTTTCCTCTTATTGCTGCTTTTATTGCTTATTTATAACTTTGTGAATGTGTATGTGAAAGTAACATACACTTAACTGTAGAAAATTTGGAAACCATAGAAAAAAATTGTGTGTAAAAATGAGATGGTTGTGAGAGGAGCACATACCCATAACCACACCAGCTTGAGGCAACCAGGTTAATACATTGATAGATTTCCTTCTAGTCTTTTTTTGCTATGTACCCTCCACCCTTTACTTAGGGTTTAAATAATAATAATAAAACAAACACCCATGTATACACTACCATGCTTGAGAAATTTCATTTTGTTAATGTAGTATTGAACCTAAATCTTCTTTTTCCTTTAGGAAATGGATCAGACAATGGCTGCCAATGCTCAGAAGAATAAATTCTTGATTGATGGGTTTCCAAGAAATCAAGACAACCTTCAAGGTTGGAACAAGACCATGGATGGGAAGGCAGATGTATCTTTCGTTCTGTTTTTTGACTGTAATAATGAGGTAATGAAAATCTTCATCTGCCCACATAGGCTTTAAGCAACTGTTAGTCAACTATTGGAAAAAAACAAAGGAATTTTTTAGTTACATTTTATATTGGCAGCAGTGTTTTTTGAATTGGTGGATTGGATGGACAGAATAGCACTGTCTTGCTGTTGGAGTATTAAAAACTATTTGGCATTGGCAGCCTTGGGGAGCTAAATTTTCCTTTATTTTCAAAATAACAAGAATCAGTTTTGATTTTTAAAAAATAAGAACTGACATACATAATAATATTAGGTAAGAAGCTGAACTACTTTCTTAGGTAGACATTATTATCAAAGAGTATCTTGCCTTAGGGTGTTGTTTACTGGAAGAGAAACACGTTTCTGAGAAGTTGGGAAAACTTTCTGTTTTAAAGAAACATACAGGGCCGGGTGTGGTGGCTCACGCCTGTAATCCTAGCACTTTGGGAAGCCAAGGCAGGCGATCACCTTAGGTCAGGAGTTTAAGACCAGCCTGGCCAACATGGTGGAACCCCGTCTCTACTAAAAATACAAAAATTAGCCTGGTGTGGTGGCACACGCCTATAATCCCAGCTACTTGGGAGGCTGAGGCAGGAGAATTGCTTGAACTTGGGAGGCAGAGGTTGCAGTGAGCCAAGATTGCGCCACTGCACTCCAGCCTGGGCAACAGAGCAAGACTGTCTCAAAAAAAGAAAAAAAAAAAAAGAAATGTACAGGATAGCCTGATTTGTCTTAAGAGTGAAATGATCTTGAAAAAAGCAAAAAAATGTACTTTTCTTTCTGGTAGTTCTAATAACAAAGTCAGACATACTTTTGAATAACTAAATACATTTCTCAGAATCATTTAATTAAGAAGCCTGAAGTAGTTAGTACCTTGAAGGAAGTTGATTGTTCTTAGGTTGAACTGTAAATGTGCCTCTGGTGGAGAGACTTGCTGCGGCCTTTGCGTTATTTTATTTTATTTTATTTTATTTTTATTTTATTTTATTTTATTTCTTTTCTTTTCTATTTTATTTTATTTGAGATGGAGTCTCACTTTCTTGCCCAGGCTGGAGTGCAGTGGCATGATCTCGGCTCACTGCAACCTCCCAGGTTCAAGCAGTTCTCCTGCCTCAGCCTCCCAAGTAGCTGGAATTACAGGCGTGCACACCACGCCTAGTTAATATTTGTATTTTTAGTAGAGACAGCGTTTTGCAATGTTGGCCGGGCTTGTCTCGAACTCCTGACCTCAGGTGATCCACCTGCCTTAGCCTCCCAGAGTGCAGAGCCTCCCAGGGATTGTAGGCATGAGCTACCATGCCTGGCCTTTTGCATTGTTTTAAAACGCAACTCTCGTCTTCCAACCCCCAAAAATATGTTTTCATTTACCCTTCAAAGTTAACTTTAGAATGTTACCACAGCTTTATAACTAAGGAATGTTTATTCACAATTAACAAGGGATGCTTTATTCAAATGCAAATATGTTGACTCAAATATTTGGAAATTTATGGAATTATCAAAAAGCAGGCAAAAATGAAACAAAATTTGAGGCATGTAATTCATACCTAATAAGTTAATAATAGATCTGAGATGGGACCATACACATACAGATCTTTTTATTGCAGTTTGAAAAAAAATACACAGGAAAAACTGAGTCATGAATGAATTCTTATTATGCTCTGTACTTATTTAACCTAGTTTATATAAATTGAACCACATGTTTAATTTTAAAAGGACTTTGCATGTTGATTAATGAATTAGACACACTGGGTTTATTGCAGGGGTTTTTTTGGTCATCTCTTTAAACTCTTGTTTTCTTTTCAGGTTAAAAGAATGGCAAATTCATATGTTTATGTTTTTGATAACTTTATATCTCTTTTTAGATCTGTATTGAACGATGTCTTGAGAGGGGAAAGAGTAGTGGTAGGAGTGATGACAACAGAGAGAGCTTGGAAAAGAGGTACTTTGCAGTTTTTACATATAACCACTTCAATCCCAGACCTGCCCTATTTGGTATAGGAAAAAAAGAGTCGCATTTAAACATGTAAAATGGCTTGTTTAAGATGTTAAGTCAATCGGTCGGGGCAGATCCAGTGTTCTGTGAGCTCTTCTATAACATATAGAAGAAAGGATAGATACCTAGAACCTTGCAATATTTACTTTTGCAGAATTCAGACATACCTTCAGTCAACAAAGCCAATTATTGACTTATATGAAGAAATGGGGAAAGTCAAGAAAATAGATGCTTCTAAATCTGTTGATGAAGTAAGTGTTCCTAGCCTGTCTTTAAAAAAATATGTCAAATAAAAACGTGATTATTTGTTTTGGGGTAGGCAGGAGAAAAAGAAATACTATCACAGATTAGTTAGTTTTTCAAGACACTGGAAGCCGGGCATGGTGGCTCATGCCTGTAATCCCAGCACAGGAGTTCGAGACCAGCCTGGGCAACATACTGGGACTCTGTCTCTTAAAAAAAAAAAAAAATGAAAAGAAGACACTGGGGACTAAATGAAAAATTAGGGTTTTTTTCCTATCTGAGTAAAACCTAAAATGAGGTTTACAACTTCAAACTTGTTCTTCATGAGAAATGGGTGGTTTATGAATTCTGAACTTGCTCCCAAGCACTAGAAAACTGGTATTTTAAGAAATGTGAGTTGGATCACATGAATGGCAAGTCATCTAGCTCAAGAGCTCCAGGCTTCTTTCTTCTGCCACAGAACAAATAGCACCACAGGTGGAAGGTTTCCATGACTTACCACTTCTCTCTGAATTGTGGTTTGCAAGCCCAGCAAAATTTCTAGTGTCTCTTTTTTTTTTTTTTTTTTTTTGAGACGGAGTCTCGCTCTGTCGCCCAGGCTGGAGTGCAGTGGCCGGATCTCAGCTCACTGCAAGCTCCGCCTCCCAGGTTCCCGCCATTCTCCTGGCTCAGCCTCCCGAGTAGCTGGGACTACAGGCGCCCGCCACCGCTCCCGGCTAATTTTTTGTATTTTTTAGTGGAGACGGGGTTTCACCATATTAGCCAGAATGGTCTCGATCTCCTGACCTCGTGATCCGCCCGTCTCGGCCTCCCAAAGTGCTGGGATTACAGGCTCTAGTGTCTCTTAATGAACCTAACCTCCCTTTCCCCGATTCCCTGGATCTTCATCCTCTTATAGTCATAAGATAAAAAAGAATGGCCCAGGGGAAGAAGATTCAGGGAATCTTTTTTTAATCCATTCACACTTTGTATAGAGGTGATGTAATACATGAGAAAACTGTGTTTTAGAATCAGAAGAAGCCACTTCAGTTTATATTTTATCAAATTATTGGTAGCCTATCAAGAATATTTTGTCCTAAAAGCACTAATTGAATGTAATATAGTCATAATTTTATATGTATTATTTATATAATATTACTGTCTAAAGTAAAATAGATGAAACTAAGTATGTGATTTTAAAAAATGAATCATTTTGAAAATTAATGTAAATTTGATTTTTTTTATGTGAACTTGTTTGGAGATGGAGTCTTTATTTTTTATTTTATTTTATTTATATATATATTTTTGAGACAGTGTCTCGCTCTGTTGCCCAGGCTGGAGTGCAGTGGTGTGATCTCGGCTCACTGCAACCTCCATCTCCTGGGTTCAAGTAGTTCTCCTGCCTCAGCCCCCTGGGTAGCTGGGCGCCTGCCACCACACCCGGCTGATTTTTGTATTTTTAGTAAAGAGGGGTTTCGCCATGTTGGCCAGGCTTGTCTTGAACTCCTGACCTCAAGTGATCTGCCCGCCTCGACCTCCCAAAGTGCTGGGATTACAGATGTGAGCCACCACACCCAGCCAAATTTGATTATTTTTAATAAGAACTTAACTGTATGGTATTTTAACAGTGCCTGCTTTTAAAATTATTATCATCTTTTTCCTTTACAGGTTTTTGATGAAGTTGTGCAGATTTTTGACAAGGAAGGCTAATTCTAAACCTGAAAGCATCCTTGAAATCATGCTTGAATATTGCTTTGATAGCTGCTATCATGACCCCTTTTTAAGGCAATTTTAATCTTTCATAACTACATCTCAATTAGTGGCTGGAAAGTACATGGTAAAACAAAGTTAATTTTTTATGTTCTTTTTTTTGGTCACAGGAGTAGACAGTGAATTCAGGTTTAACTTCATCTTAGTTATGGTGCTCACTAAACAAAGAAGGGTATCAGCTAGTTTTTTTTTAATTCAAAAAGAATATCCCTTTTATAGTTTGTGCCTTCTGTGAGCAAAACTTTTTAGTACGCATATATATCCCTTTAGTAATCACAACATGTTAGGATTTAGGGATACCCGCTTCCTCTTTTTCTTGCAAGTTTTAAATTTCCAACCTTAAGTGAATTTGTGGACCAAATTTCAAAGGAACTTTTTATGTAGTCAGTTCTTGCACAATGTGTTTGGTAAACAAGCTCAAAATGGATTCTTAGCAGCGTTTTAGTATTTATCAAATAACTGACCATTTACTATAGAAAGGTGAAAAAACTTAAGCTTTGTTTTACTACAACTTGTACAAAGTTGTATGACAGGGAATATTCTTTGCTTCCAAGATTTGGGCTGGGGGCACTAGGGGTTCAGAGCCTGACAGAATTGTCAGCTTTATTCTGACATAATCTAAGGGTATGGGGCAAGGATCACATCTAATGCTTGTGTTCCTTATACTCTGTTATATAGTATTATTCATGATTCAGCTGATCTTAACAAAATTCCTAGCAGTGGAACCTTGAAATGCATGTGGCTAGATTTATGCTAAAATGATTCAGTTAGCATTTTAGTAACACTTCAAAAGTTTTTTTTCTTTGTTCTCTAGACTTAATAAAAGGTTAGAATTAATTAGAAGAAGCAATCTAGTTAAATTTCCCATTTGTGTTTTATTTTCTTGAATACTTTTTTCATAGTTATTTGTTTAAAAAGATAAAAAATCATTGCACTTTGGTCAGAAAATTAATAAATATATCTTATAAATGTTTGATTCCCTTCCTTGCTATTTTTATTCAGTAGATTCTTGTTTGGCATCATGTTGAAGCACCAAAAGATAAATGATTTTTAAAAGGCTATAGAGCCCAAAGGAATATTCTTTTACATCAATTCTTCCTTTAAAAATCTCTGAGAAATTTGTTTTCGCCTTACTTTTTTTTTCCTCTGTCACCAATGCTAAGTGGTATCCAAGATTCTTAATATGAGATTTAAAATCTTAAAATGTTTCTTATTTTCAGCACTTAGGTCATTTGGTACACAGGGTCAAATAGGGCAAATAATTTTGTCTTTGTATAATTAGATTTGATATTTAAAGTCACTGGAAATAGGACAAGTTAATGGATGTTTTTATATTTTAATAGAATCATTTCTATGTGTTATGAAATTCACTGATTAATGATAAATTTTTCAACATACTTGCCATTAGAAAACAAAGTATTGCTAAGTACTGTAACATACTGGCCACCAAAATTCGTATTGAGATTATCTTGGTTTCTTGTAAGAGATAGGAATGAGTTCTTACCTAGTGTTGCAGTCTAGCAAATACAGAGGTGGTTTAATCAAACAACTCTAGTGTGAAGCAAGAGTAAAGACTAAGGTTTTGAGAGCATTCCTACTCACATAAGTCAAGAAATCTGTCAGATAGGAATCTAAGTATTTATAGCGAGATTGTGAAAGCAACCTTAATGTTTTGAAGGACTGTTGAGACTAGGTGCTTTGCTTCCTTTCCTCAGATATCTTTCTGTGGCATTTGAGAACAGAAACCAAGAAACACGGTAATTACTAAATTATGAGGCTTTGCTTTTTGTTTGCTTTTAAGTAGAAAAACATGTTGGCAACATTGAGTTTTGGAGTTGATTGAGGTAATCAGACTTAACTAGTTTTGTCATTCCATTTGTTAAAGATACAGTCACCAAGAATTTTTTGAGTTTTTTGAAAGACCCCAATTTAAGCCTTGCTTATTTTTAAAAATTATTTCCATTCAGTGATGTTGGATGTATATGAATTATTTAGTAAATAATCTCAATAAATTTTGTGCTGTGGCCTTTGCTATTTGTTGGTTCAGATTTCTGTTCTCTAAGCATATTGAAGATCAAGAAGTATCCTATTTAATATGTGGGTTCTCACACTACAAAAGCAGAGTTCAGGACTGTCGATGCAAAGAGTCAAATTCTGTAAAATATTTGAAGATATTTATTCTAAGCCAAATATGAGTGATGAGTGGCTTGTGACACAGTCCGCAGGAGATCCTGAGAACATGTGCATATGGTGGTCGGTGTGCAGCTTGTTTTTATACATTTTAGAGAGACATGAGACATCAGTCAATACAGGTAAGATGTATACATGGTTCAGTCCAGAAAGGTGGGACAACTGGAAGCAGGAGTGGGGAAAGCTTCCAAGCCTTAGGCAGATTCAAAGATTTTCTGATTGGCAATTGGTTGAAAGAGTTTCTGTAAATAGAAAGGCATGTCTAGGTTGATACAGGGTTTGTTGGAGACCAAGGTTTTATCATGCAAATGAAGACTTCAGGTAGCAGGCTTCAGAGAAAATAGATTGTAAATGCTTCTTATTAAGAGTCTGTTCTAGGCCGGGCACGGTGGCTCAAGCCTGTAATCCCAGCACTTTGGGAGGCCGAGACGGGCAGATCACGAAGTCAGGAGATCAAGACCATCCTGGCTAACCCGGTGAAACCCTGTCTCTACTAAAAAAATACAAAAAACTAGCCGGGCGAGGTGGCAGGCGCCTGTAGTCCCAGCTACTCGGGAGGCTGAGGCAGGAGAATGGCGTAAACCCGGGAGGCGGAGCTTGCAGTGAGCCGAGATCGAGCCACTGCACTCCAGCCTGGGCGACAGAGCGAGACTCCATCTCAAAAAAAAAAAAAAAAAAAAAAAAAAGAGTCTGTTCTATCAGTAATTTCAAAAGGGAGGTGAGGTATAATGAGGCATGTCTGGCTCTCCCTTCCCATCATGGCCTGAAACTAGTTTTTCGGATGAACTCTGGAATGCCCTTGGCCTAGAGGAAGGGTCCATTCAGATGGTTGTAGGGGCGCTTAGAATTTTATTTTTGCTTTACAGGATCCAGGAAAAGTTTTCATCCTGTTTTTGTGTTTTGGCTTAAGCAGAAAGCATGATTTTATCCCATTCCTTCAAGAAGTAATCTCCACTGAGACACAAGCAGCCTATTTCATTACCTACCAGCAGCATCAATCACTTATCTCTTTTGGGGGAAGATGACAGTAAACAATGTATATCAGGATGTGGGCTTTTTGTGGACTTTCGGCTTTACTCTTGTAATTTAAGTGGTTCACAAACATTCCAGTGGTCCCTGGAGATAATAGTGGCTGTAAGTACTGGGCAGATGAGGTTAGCATCTTCTCCCTGGAGGTTTGGTTGTCATCTTCAAACAACTACTAATTGCACAAGCAAATAGTGCTAAAAACACTTTTTCTGGCCGGGCGTGGTGGCTCACGCCTGTAATCCCAGCACTTTGGGAGGCCGAGGCAGGTGGATCACAAGGTCAGGAGTTTGAGACCAGCCTGACCAACATGGTGAAACTTTGTCTCTATTAAAAATAAAAAAAATTAGCCAGGCATGGTGGCGGGCACTTGTAGTCCCAGCTACTCGGGAGGCTGAGGCAGGAGAATGGCGTGAACCCGGGAGGCGGAGCTTGCAGTGAGCCAAGATTGCGCCACTGCACGCCAGCATGGGTGACAGAATGAGACTCCGTCTCAAATAAACAAACAAAAAATATTTTCTGCCTTCCAGGAGGTTTTGTTTTTGTTTTTTGTTTGTTTGTTTGTTTTCTAAAACATTTGATATAGATAGACCTTCCAATGTCTTCTGTTGGTTAACTTTAATCATTCTTAGGTATTCTATTTCAGTTCTCCCTAGCCCACCTGCATACTTCTGCTAAATTAAGTGTTCCTTAATTGTAAACATTTATTTTTAATGAAAGAAAGGAAGCTCATTAATTTTGTACCAAAGAGAAAGGAAAACAATGGTCCTAATCACTTACTCCTTTATTTCCTCATCCCTGAGGCCAATGTAAATACTCACTTGGATTCAGGTATGCTTTTCTTTGGCTGGGTGTAGTGACTGTGTTTGTGATGTTACTCTTGGACCTCAGATAAGCCTGGAAGGTCACTATCTTTCCTGTTGTGAGAGAGCTGAAGGACGAAGTTGAATTTCTGGCTGCTGCCATATACCTGATGTCAACTGTACCATATCTAGATTATCACTCAGGTTCACACCTTTATGGGAATGCCTTTATGGGAGTTTTTTTGTTTGTTTGTTTTTTGAGACGGAGTCTCGCTCTGTCGCCCAGGTTGGAGTGCAGTGGCACGATCTCCGCTCACTGCAAGCTCCGCCTCCCGGGTTCACGCCATTCTCCTGCCTCAGCCTCCCTAGAAGCTGGGACTACAGGTGCCCGCCACCACACCCGGCTAATTTTTTTTGTATTTTTAGTAGAGACGGGGTTTCACTGTGTTCGCCAGGATGGTCTCAATCTCCTGACCTTGTGATCCACCCGCCTCAGCCTCCCAAAGTGCTGGGATTACAGGCGTGAGCCACCGTGCCCGGCCTATGGTAGTTCTTTAGAGCAGAACCTGCTTCTCTTAGGTTCCTCTTCTTCAATGAGGCTTTGTCCTCCTGAAACAAAGAGGGTAAGAGAAGAGATTTTAATTATTTTGTCTTATTTAGGGAGACAAGGGTAATACATCAGAACATTTCTGTAGGTGAGGTTCTTTCAGCTACAGAATATAATTTTTTATTTATGATACATTTCGAAGTAACCTGTATGCAACTTGTGAACACTAGCCTTTGACACCATCCAGAGTAAAAGCATCTGCAGAGACAAGTTACCAGACACTTTCCCACATCCCAGCCCTAATGTTAGATAAGCACAGATACACTCTAACAATTGTCTTCCACACAATGAAATCAAGCAGTTAAGCAGCATACCACATATGCATCCTCATTTAATTGAAGAACCACATATTAAAAGAAAAAGCAAAATTTTTAAAAAGCCATGAATGTGAGCTTTGGGAATGTTCTTACACTACTGTTTTGAAGGCTTTCTGGAAGAAATGTACTCTCAGTAGCTACTTCTATGACATTAAAAAAAAAAAAAAAAAAAAAAAAAAGTATGTGGTCTCAAGATGAGCTTCCAAAAAAAAACCTGAACTGAGTAAGTTTCCTTGCTAGTGTCTAAGCCTTTGCAGCCCTTTGAGGACTGTGAGTTGAACTGTCTTTCTTATAGCTGCTTGGCTCCAAGAACTTCCAGAAGGGAAAGAAAATGAATAGGTTCATTAGTTGGTACTTAAAAGGACAAAGTGTGTGCATGGCTCACCCTAAGTTGTTTGTTAGTTTTATCAAAAAGGATTTTCACAAATGGCTCCAAAATAGCTGCCAACACTTGGCCAGTCTTGTAGGTATGATTGTGAAGAGACTGCATCAAAATGTCCTTGTCAAAATGTCACAATTTTCTTTTTAATTACCAGGTGCACAATAAGCACTACCATTGTTCTGTCCTCAACTGGGATAACAGTCAAATGATACATTATTTACATGATTTGGAGGGGGAAAATGCTGAAGTTTAAAGACTCATTTTTTAGGGGCTGGGTGTGGTGGCTCATGCCTGTAATCCCAGCACACTGAGGCCCGCAGATCACTTGAGGTCAGGAGTTTGAGACCAGCCTGGCCAACATGGTGAAACCCTGTCTCTACTAAAAATATATAAAATTAGCCAGGCGTTGTAGTGTGCACCTGTAGTCCCAGCTACTCAGGAGGCTGAGGTAGGAGAATCACTTGAGCCTGGGAGGTGGAGGTTGCAGTGAGCTGAGATCATGCACCGCGCTGCAGCTTGGGCAACAGATTGAGACTCTGTCTCAAAATAAATAAATAAATAAATAAATAAATAAATAATTTTTGATTGGGTCAAAATATTCCCACATTAAAATGAACAAGTTGAAACAGCTACATCAAAATCCCCCTGGTTCCAAAATAACTCAGAATGCCCATGTCATATTCAGTATCAAAGACGATTGAGCAGAGACTGTATCTATATTCCTTCCTTTCTCTGTTTAAGGCCTTTACTTAGGTCTGGATAAGTGATGTCTGGGGAAAGGATAACTCCTGGACTTGCAGCTGCTGCTACTGTGTGCAAATGGAAATTCTGAAACGCAGGGGATGTGATGGGATGAGAGTAAAACCATTTGTATAGAGAAGCAGGTTTTGTTCCATCTAGTTTTACTTTATACATGATGCTCCAGTTCTACTTCATACACGATGCTTCTTTTTTATTTTATTTTCTTTTTTTTTTTTAAATGGTGGCAGCAGAGGAGACACACAGCTCAGCCACCAGCCAGAGAGAACATGATGGTTCTTGCTGGAACTTTCTTATTCTATCAATAATCACTCCCAAAACACTGTCTTAATCTGTTCAAAAGTCTTCATGTTCACAGACCGCACTCGCACTTCTCTCCATGAGTATTTTGTTGATGAAAATGGGGTTCAGGAATGTGATTTCCTTAACACAAACTATCTTCATTTATCTTTAACTTGTGGTTTCAGTAATTTTGTGGCTATTTCTGAGTTTTGTTTATGTATTTGACTTAAGAAAGTAGCTGTTTATTGTCAGCAGCTAAATCATTGTTTTATACGACACAGATTATGGCTAGTTGGTGAAATAATAGCTAGGTACACATAGAAGGTATTACCACAGTCTGTAATCACATTCATGCAAGGGTCTGTTATTTTAATTTAGCTAACTGGTCGTTAGCAAGATAATTTTCAGAGATGCTGACCCCTGTGACTGGAATCAGATTTGTTGCAGGTAGTCCACATCTTCCTTAGGCCATGCGTCTGTCACCGGACCAAGGGATGACAATAGCACCAAAATAATCACATTACAAAAATTGGCTGGCCATTCATTCAAAATATGTTTGAGACATTGGGGATACAATAGTCAGTTAATACACACCCACTGCCCTCAACAGGCTTACTAGATAAGCTCAAATCCAGTGGTTTCTTAGCTGATTGTGTTCCTGTATAGTG